GAAGAACCTTGAGGACATCATGCTAAGTGAAATAAGCCAGTCACAAAAGGACAACCGTTGCATGATTCCACTAAATGAAGCATCTGGAGTAGTCAAGTTCATAGAGACAGAAAGTAGAATGGTGGTTCAGGGGCTAGGGAAGGAGAGAATGAAGAGTTAGTGTTTAATGGGTACAGAGTTTCAGTCAAGAAAGATGAAAACGTTCTGGAGATAGTGGTGTGAAAAATAATAAAGAGAAATATCACTAAAATGGAGCAGGGAAGCTAGAAGCGGAGGTGACAATGAGGAGCCTTATCATTCAACATCAATTATAGGAAGAATTGTCAATTATGTACCCCAACAGAAGAATCCTCAACAGGAAAGAATCATCAATTACAGGCCCCATAACAAAAAGATGTCCATTGCATCTCCTATAAGAAATCACCCTCCACCTACAACTCAGCCAATGAGAAACCACCATCACCTTGGACTCATGCTTTTCTCCAATTGAATTTGTTCAAAACTACCCCTCCCATCTTCCTCATTCTTCTCCATAAAATAAGATTCCTCTCCTTTGTTGGACTTGCCTATCGTTTTGCCATAGCTTGTCTGTCCCAAATTGAGATTCTCTGTTATTCCCAAATAAACCCATTTTTGCTGGTAAAAGAACTAACCCTTTTATTGTTAAGGTTAACAGGGGGGATGGTTGCACAACAATGTGAATGTACTTAATGCCATTGAATTATATGCTTAAAAATGGTTAATATGGTAATCTTTATGCTATGCATCTTTTACCACAATTTTTAAAAAGGAACAAAAGAACTGGAAAAGCTATTTTTAACTTTTAGAATCAACCTATAGACAAAACAGAAAGACTTCATTATGACTGCAGATCAGAATACCAATAAGATGTAGAAATACCAGCACAGATAATAGAAGCTGAGAATTTACAAAAAAAGATGTGAGCTTACGGGAGGTAGAGATGTTAATATCTTCATCCTCTCAAGCTGAGAGTGAAAAGGCACCATCTGTCCTTGACGGAATAAGAAATAGAAAGTGTAAGTATATTGTTAAAGATACAACAATAACCAACTAGAACTAAAACTAGTAATATGTGTATTAAGAAACTAAGAGGGAAGGAACAGAGGGGTTCTGGAAATGTGTTAAATCCATATCCACCATTGGATGAGATCATTTGAAAATGTCTGTACTATACAAATTAAGAAATAATAATATAGATGTTATTTAAATAGCCTTTTATAAAAAATGATGTTATTTGTTTGATGTTATTTATTGAGCCACCCAGGCACCCCATCAGTATTCTTTTGTAATTGATTACATTCTATTTTTATCTTTATTTCTTTTTTAAAAAATATTTTATTTTAGGGGACCTGGGTGGCTCAGTTGGTTAAGCGTCTGCCTTTGGCTCTGGTCCTGATCCCAGGGTCCTGGGATCGAGCCCCCCATCAGGCTCCCTGCTCAGGGGAGAGCCTACTTCTCCCTCTGCCTCTCCCCCTGCTTGTACATGCGCGCACTCACTCTCTCTCTGCCAAATAAATAAATAAAATCTTAAAAAAAAGAATACTGATAAATTGAGTTCTTTGGGGGGAAAAACAGCAAAATATTAAAATGGCTAGAAAGCATAATCAGGAAAAATAATAATGCAAATAAACAAATCAACAATCCCTAAAATGGATGGAACTACACAATTTTTTTTAAAGATTTTATTTATTTATTTGACAGAGAGACACAGCGAGAGAGGGAACACAAGCAGGGGGAGTGGGAGAGGGAGAAGCAGGTCTCCCGCGGAGCAGGGAGCCCAATGTGGGGCTCGATCCCAGGACCCTGGGATCATGACTTGAGCCGAAGGCAGACGCCCAATGACTGAGCCACCCAGGCGCCCCTGGTAGCCATATATTTTTAAAATGTGAAACCCTGGAATATGCTGAATGGTTCTCTAGAAATTAAAATTATCTTAAGAAACAGAAAACCTAAACAGGCTGATGACCCTAGAGAAATGTGAAAAGAAGTCAAAATAATATATTTATTTTTAAAAGATTTTATTTCTTTGTCAGAGAGAGAGAGAGAAAGAGAACACAAGCAGGGGGGAGCGGTAAGCAGAGGAAGAAGCAGGCTCCCTCAGAGTTAACAGACTGAGCCACCCAGGCATCCCAAAATAATATATTTAAAAGAGAGGTCCAACTCAGATGGTTTTATGGAGAGTCCTCTGATTTCCCCACAATATTCACATAACTACATAAAGAAGTTATCATAACTTTGTGATTTATTTTTTCAAACTTTAAATATCTGATCCATTGGGAATGCATTTAGATTTAAGGAAGGAGGTGAGACTCCCTGTCTGCTGATTCTGGTTTCCTCACTTCCTCATGAGTAAGTGCCACTTGAGCACCAGCTCAGCTAGGGCTGCCTCCTCCAGTGCCCTGGAGTAGAAATCCTGTGAGCCATTACATCACCCATCTCACAAATGGGCCACAAAGGGTTTCTACCGTGATGCCCTTAAAACTCCGGACTACCATTTGTATAATCTCTCCTTCTGATATCTTTTTTTAAAGATTCTCTTATTTTTTTTTTGAGAGAGAGAGAGACAGCGTAAGTGGGGGGGTGCGGATATGGGAGAGGGAGATTCCCAAGCCGACTCAGCACTAAGCACAGAGCCCTACCCAGGGCTTAATCTCAGGACACCGAGATCATGATCTGAGCTGAAACCAAGAGCCCAGAGCTTAACAGACTGTTAACACCCAGGCACCCCTAAAGATTTTTATTTTTAAGTAATCTCTACACCCAACCTGGGACTGGAACTCACAACCCCGAGATCAAGAGATGCATGCTCCACTGACTGAGCCTGCCAGGTGTCCCTCTCCCCCTTAAATCTTGCCAGTTTACATATTAGAGAAAAGAATCATTAATGTTTTTTTTT